TCACTGAAGCAGAATATGAGAATATGAAGAAAAAAAATGGAAGCAAAAACAATTTCTGAACTTTATGACAATCGATTTGTTGCTAAAAGAAGATAAAACTTCCAGCGTCATCTCAATTACACATAATATCGTAATTGTAATGATATATTATCATGAGAAGATGCGCAAAGATGTGAAGAATGAGCCTACAAATGGGACACAAATGATAAATAATCAGCACAACCAACATCATGATGATAATACGTACTCTGACTTGAAAGATATGGTACGCCTCCGAAGGTCATCTTCACGTGCTTCAACATCCCGAAGCTTCCTTTCTGCAACACTGTTATATCGACTAGCTTCTGCTTGTAAACATTCAGCAGCACGCACATTGGCCTCAGCCTCAGTAAATTTCTTCTGTGCTTCATCTATCAAACGATGGGCTTCAGCAAATTTACTATCAGCTGCAACTTTTGTTTCAGCACATTCAGAACGCATCTCACCCAAGGCCTTCTCAAGCTACAGAAATTGATAAAAATCATGACCTAAAAGATCAGACGCCAGAGTAATTATAGGAACATGCAAGAAGACATTAGTAATTTATATAAAAAGAAAACTATATTCAACAAGCTTACACTAGCTATACACTCTTTTTTCACTTCCACCGTCTTTTTCAAATTTTCTTCTCGTTTCCTTGCTTCAGCTAAAGCAGACAGCTGCATAGCTAAATCACGTTTATGAAACAACTCAGAAGATTCAGTTGAAGCCTTGAGTTGCTCATACTTGGAAGCCAATTCTTTTCTCTCCAATATGAGAAGGCCCATGTGGTGTTGATGATCATAGATCTACATTAAGTATATAAGTCAGATATATCATACCCATTGAAAAGAATAAGGAGTTTCACAAGCACTTGCATAAGGGAAACTTATGAGTGCATCTATTAAAATAAGATAACCTGAATAAGCGTGTTTACAGAGTATTCAGGTGGGAAAAAAATTACGAAGACCTCAAATCAAATTTAGGGGAAAACAATACAGCAGAGATTGGCTGTGGGGCTCAAAACGGGGTCAGAAAAAAGTTCCCATCATCAGTTTGCATCACGATGACTTTTGCTTCATTAGAATCGTATAATGGCCCGGTTCTAATCAGCTAATTATTAGTCAGGTGGCGATATACATGACCAATGAACCCACACTTAACCAGTAAGTCTAGTTTCATAGGCATATAATAAAGCTTCAACACGCAAAAAAATCTCACATTAGGATCGCCAACATACCATTCTACGCATTACTGACTTTCAGGCACATCAGTAAAGTATATCTTACAGCAGAACATATTGATTAACATGACAAGCCGTGACGAACAATTTTAATGCGCATTATTGAAGTTATTTTTCTTTTTGGAGGCAATCGATAAAGTCATAACTAAAAACAGAAATGTAATCGTACAGAATAAATTAGAAAAGTACAGTAAAGTTCACACGAAATAGAGGAATCACTGCATTTCACCTTCCAGTAAGAAATTCGACATCAATATATCTTTCCCAATTCTCCCAGGAGGTGAAGTCCTAAAGTAGAGAATTTCATAAAGAGAAGATAACAAAGAACAAACCTCAGCCTCGAGCTTGGCGATATAGGCCACAAGCGCCGCCTTGTCCTTCTGTTTAATCGACTCCTCGTCCAAGCCAGCTCGTTTGAGGCGCAACCAGATCTCATCGTCACTGAGAGGGCTTCTAACCCTAGAACGGGGAGTGATTGACAAGGGCTGAGCAGAAGGAGAAGGAGTCGCCATCTACGCTTCCCCCAATTGCCAGAAAACCCTAAAGTCCAATTGGTCTTGTGGTTCTCGGATTCAGCTCTCAAAAACGCAGATAAATCCTTCGCGACACTTCCTTAGAACCCCACCACCCCGATGGCTTTCCCGGTTGTGCCTTCAAAGATGAAAGTGGAGACAGCTTTACTACTGAGACTATTTCTTTTCTTCCTTCCTTTTTTTCTTGGCCAACGGTGAGAGTAAAGTGATCGTTGGCGCTTTATAATTCTTTATGGCCCGGATTCCTGTATTTCAGTTGTAATTTGGCCGGGATTCTTTTTATTTTTTTGATTTCCTGTTCAATGTTTAATAGTGTAGGGATGATTTTAAAAATAATTTGACGATATACAGATAAATATGCAGGGAAATTCATTTATAAAAAAAATGTTTTTAAAAAGTAACACCTCCAAATAAAGAATCTATCAAATATAAAAGAAAATTGATTCCACATCCCAATCTTATTAATGACGCCAACGTCATTGATGATTCTATTGTTTTGAATTCAAATTAAGTTCTTGCACAATTATTGAATTCAAAATAAAGAGCTGTTTAGGTGGTATAAGAAGTATTTTTGAAAAGTATTTTTTTATAAATCAAGATAAACTCCTCCACATATTTACTTCGTATATCGTAAAATCACTTTTGAAACTATAGTTTGGTTTCCATCCAAACGTCTCCTAAATTAGAAAGCATTAATTTAATTATTTTATTATAATATTTCAATTTCATATTAATAGCGCTTACTATTAATATTTCTCTGGTTAAGTTTCAAATTTGAAAAAGGGTGTGGTCCATTTTATAAACTTTAATTTGAGTTTATTTTATATTTAATACACTTTTTTTCTAATATTATCCTTAATTTTTTTATTAGATTTCTACGCACATTCTCTTTTTTATTTTTTTAATTTATTATAAGAACATATTTAAAAATATATATTTAAAATTATTTATTATTTTTAACTAATTATTATTATTTATAAATTAATTATTTGAAGTTTATAATAAAAACTAAAAGAGTACTATTAATATTTTTGTTCGAGAAACAAGTAAAGATATCATAAGTTACTATTTTTGTTTCAAATATTTTTCAACCGATCTTTGTATTATTAGTCTGTGAGACTTTTTTTCAAATAATAATTTTCAAAGATAATTAAAATAATCTAAATATAACCTGTTTTGAACTACAACATTATCGATGTAGGAGCTAAACAAGAGATTTATTTGGCTCTAAATACAATAACTCGGTTTGTTTTGTCTCACAAACTTATAATTTTTTTTTAAAAAGAATCTCTATTGTTTGCACATATCAAGATTCTCACAAAAAAAATAGTTTCAAGAGTTAAGATGCATTTAGTATTTTAAAGTATTTTTTTAGGTGCATTCACCACCCTAAAAATACTTCAAAATTCTGGATGTCCCTGAAAAATACTTCAAGATGCTAAATGCACATGAAAAAATACGTTATAGTATTGGATACACCTTAACCCTAGTTTTAATGTATAAGATTATTTTGATGAATAAGATTAAAAGGATTATTTATTACAAATAAATAATCTTATTAATTTTTTTAATATCCACATATTAATTATTTGGATTTTATATTAAAGAGAGGAGCTAGAATATAAAATTCTTCCGAAATGCACCTTACGTATTCCAGGGAAAACTATGTATGGTTACTTATATTATCCAATAATTAAACTATATTTTTTTATTATACTTTAAGTTTAGGTGAGTTACCAAAAAAATATAATAAATATAAGAATTAGTTAATTAATCATTAAAATTAAAAAAATTAATTAGTTAAGTTAATTATTTATATAAAAATATGTATTAAGTTTTCCAAAACCATCCTATTTTTATTTGCAACAGGAAACTAGCTATTAATGAATATCCCTTATATGCATATAAAAAAATTGAAAAAACCATATTGGAGGTACCTATACTTTCTCTTAATTTTCAATTTGGTACCTATGTGTTTTTTGTTCTTAACTAAATCTTTAATTTTGCTCTATTAACATCATTAATCCTTATGTAGAGACTAAAATATCAATAGAACAAAGTTATAAGAGCTAATGTTGCTAAAAAGATAAAATTAAATGTTTAATTAAAGGGAAAAAAACGCATAGGTACCAAATTAAAAATTGAGAGAAAGGATAGGTACCTCCAATATGGTTTTCCCTAAAAAAATTTAAGGAAAAAATTATAAATTTAAAAAATAAAATAAATTAAGTTCCTATATTTATAAATTATAACTAGGGTTACGTTTTTTTCGAAGACAAAGATGGAGTAGCACGTGATTACGAGTTAGTTATGTGAATTTGCGCTGTGAGTATTGTTTTCATTGATTAACCTCGTCATATGGTAGTACTCCTCTTGCTTTGAATTAATCATCACCAAAACGCCCGGGAAGATATATTTTATTAAAGATGATTGCCGCACATCAATTTTAGAGCTTTCCTCAGTCCATCTCATCCTGGTGTTCGCCGTGACCCACTGACGCGTGCCAAGAATTTGTGAAACGCAGTACTTCAGCCGCCATAAATAAGGCGAGAAGATCGATCTTGATCGACGAGCCACTTGCTCTATTTAGAGAGGGGGTACGATCCTTGTGCTCTACCACTTTCGTCCTTATTATCCATCACCTGTCACTGTTTTTCACAAATAAAAAATAATGATAAATAGATTTAAAAATTCCATCCGTTTTATATATAAACTTCAAATAACCGAATCACGTTTAACAAATTAATAGTTAAATTAGTTAAAAATAATAAATGAGTTATAAATGTATTTTTTTAAAATTTGTCCTTATTTATTAAGAGAATAAACAAGAGAGACAATAAATAAATAAAATGAGGAAAGAGAATATATGGGGATAATATTGATAAGAGAGAGGGAGCATAAATATGGTCATCTTATAGTCATCTAAGGATAAAATAGAAAATAATAATAAAAACTTAAACAAACTCAAAAATAAAATTTATATTTTTTACCAGACCATTTTTCAAAAATGAAGTATATATATAGAACCGGAGGGAGTATTAATTTATGCTCTCTTACTACTCTTATTAAATATGGGCATATATGAAATACTTATTGAAACTATTATAAGATCTCATAAAAATGATTAAAAATTTCCTTTGGAACGACTCTTGTAATAAACACCAGATGGAGTATAAAAAATCTAATTGAGGTGTAATTTCCTCTGCCACACTTGAAATAGCAACGTCGCCCTAATAAAAAGTGCCAACAAGTACGTTTAATTTAGAGGATTAATAATGGTCGTCACATGCAACATTATCGATGGAAAACCATTATAATTGGCTGCTGCACATGAAAAGAAAACACTTAGACACGCATGTTTTGTCGGCTCAAAAGGTATTGGAAAGGGGTGCATTCCAATTTCCATGTTCTTTGTGGGCATTATAAAATTGTTTAATGTAGCTAAATAAAAATATTATATTACCACTGATTTTATGTATAAGTTTCACTTTTGGGGAAGAATCTGGTCCAGCATATAAACTTGATTTGTGAGTTTGTCTGAGTATTTTTTTTTTATCCTTAGTTGACTGTATTTAGTACTCCCTCTCTTTTATTAATATTATTTTCATATATTCTCTTTCATTATTTTTTTTCATTTATTGTCTCTCTTGTTTACTCTCTTAATAAAGAAGGGTAAATTTAAAAAATAAAGGAAAATTAATCTTTTGTTCTTTCAAATTTTAACTCATTTTATATGACTCAGCCCCTCAACTATAACCCAATATAACTTAGTCTCTCAACTTTTAACTCGTTTAAAACTCAGTCCCTCAATTTTTTTTTAATAAATCAATCCTCATCGTATATAAGTCACTTTGAGTCATCACTTAATTATGTTACGTGGCAAAAATTCCTGCTGACATGGCTTCCAACCAAGCTATCCTCGTTGATCACCCAAACAGTCCTTCTCGTTGTCCTTTCTTCTTGACCTCCGCCTTCGCGCGCACACAGTGTCGGCACGCATTCTCCTTCACCTATAACTTCAATGTTCGGCCCCCATGAGTTTTTTTCACTCCATTCCGTTGCAGCTTTCTCCATTTAACCTCCTCCTTCCTTCCCTTTCTCTGATTATTTTCAGATTTAAGAGATTTCAAAACTTAGTTCTCAGGGCTCATACATCATTCATGGTGCGGGAAAGCTAAAAATGTTTCGACAAGAAAGATTCGCTAGCTTAGAAAAAATTTGCTAACTGACTATACTGGTGTCATCAGGTGGTTCTGGCAAGAATGTAATTGTGAATTTTTTGCATACATGGCTCATGGCGCTCATACATCACTCGTCCCTTGCTGCTATAAATGATTCCGAAGCTTACTTTTCATCACCCATGGCCGGCGGTGAAACAAACTATTGAATGGAGCGGGGGAAAAAAAACTTATGAGAGGTGAACATTGAAGCTATAGGTGAAGGAGAATGGGTGCCCATGCTGTGAGTGCGCGAAGGTGGAGGTCAAGAAGAAGAAAGGAAAACGAGAGGGACTGTTTGGGTGATCAACGAGGATAGCTTCGTTGGAAGCCATGTCAGCAAGAATTTTTGCCACATAACGTAAGGCATAACTAAGTGATGACTCAAAGTGACTTATATACGATGAGGATTAATTTATTAAAAAAAAGTTGAGAAACTGAGTTTTAAACGAGTTAAAAGTTGAGGGGCTGAGTCATATTGAATCATAGTTGAGAGATTGAATCATAATTGAGTTAAAAATTAAAGAATTAAAAGATTAATTTTCTCAAAAATAAAAATATATTTCTGACCTATTTATTATTTTTAATTAATTTTAATCGTTAGTTTGTTAAACATATCTCGTCGTCTGAAGTTATATATAACACAAGAGGAAGTATTAAAGAGCATCTTCCCTTTTAAAATATACAAGCACAAAACCTCGGTTACTTGGAGAAATGGATAAAGATATCGTGGATTGGAGAGTATTTTAATTAATTTTTTACGCCAAAAAAATCAACAAACTAAACTGCTAAAATCAAAAGCAATATGTCACCTCTGGCCTCTAGCATGCCGGGCTGATAAACTACGCCAAGCATTAATAATATTAATCAAAAGTTGAAGTTCCAGCTGTCGTGTGTTGTAAACATTCCAACAAAACTGGAAATTACTAGGGTTTATACTCCTCATAGTTCTCTTGCACAAAGGAAAAGGTGGCCAG